AGTGGGAAAAAACCCAAGAATTGGCAACATATTTTAAAAAAGCTCTAAGAATACAGCATGCAGGAAAACCACCCACAAGAACAATCAAATCTGTAAGGTACTAATATCCTCAAAGATGTAGAGAAGATACTGCATCTATAAACCAAAACAGCTATGTGTATGTATATATTTTAGAAATTTCATTATATAATTTAAAAACATACAAGCAGAAAATAAAACTGACTATATTTCAAGAAAAAGACAATGAACATAAAAGGACATGGATAAATAAGTAAAAAGAAGCAGGATGAATTAGAGGATCAGTCTAGGAGGTCCATCTGAATAATAGGATTTCTAGAAAGATGATAAAAATAACCAAATTGAAAAATCCCCTTGAGGACTTCAAGAGGAGACATTAACAAAAAAAAAATCTGCAAAATTAAAAACAAGCTATTTGAAAGAATAGAGTCTGAGGAATAAAGAGAAAAGAGAATGAGGAAAAGTAAACAGAGACTAAAGAACTTATATCAAATAGGCCAATATATATGCATTACAGGAGTCCTAAAAGGAGAAGAGAAAGAGGAGAAGAGCGTATATTTGAAGAAATAATAAAGCAACTTCCCAAGTTTAAGAAAACACATGCATTTACAAATCAAAAAAGCTCTACACACTCCAAGTAGGATAAACAAAATGAGATCCACACTAAAAGGCATAAAGAAACTGTCAAAAAAAAAAAAAACAAAGAATATTTTTTAAATTATAATTTTATTAATTATACTATTACAGTTTTCCCAGTTTTTCTCCCTTTGCTCTCTTCTGCCCTGTACCCCACTTCCCTCCAGCAATACCCTATTTAGTTCGTGTCTATGGGTCGTGCCTATAAGTTCTTTGGTTCCTCCATTTCCTATACTATTCTTAACATCCCCCTATTTTGTACCTACCAATTATGCTTCTTAATCCCTGTACCTTTTTCCCCATTCTCCCCCTTCCTCCTGCTAGCTGATAACCCTCCAAATATTCTCCATATCCATGATTCTATTCTTGTTCTGATTGCTTAGGTTGCTTTTGTTTGTGTTTTCATTTTTTTTAGATTCAGTTGCTGATAGTTGTGAGTTTGTTGTCATTTTAATGTTAATAGTTTTGATGTTCTTTTTCTTAAATAAGTCCCTTTAACATCTCAGGTAATAATGGCGTGGTGATGATGAACTCCTTTAAGCTGACCTTATCTGGGAAGCACTTTATCTGCCCTTACATTCTAAATGATAGCTTTGCTGGGTAGAGTAAACTTGGTTGTAGGTCCTTGTTTTTATCACTTTGAATACTTCTTGCCAGTAAAGTTTCTTTTAAGAAATCAGCTGACAGTCTTATGGGAATTCCTCTGTAGGTAACTACTCTGCTTTTCTCTTGCTGCTTTTCAGATTCTCTCTTTAATGTTAACCTTTGGCATTTTAATTATGATGTGTCTTGGTGTGGTCTTCTTTGGGTCAAACTTGTTTGGGACTCTTTGTGCTTCCTGGATGTCTATTTCCTTCGCCAAATTAGAGACATTTTCTTTCATTATTTTTTCAATAAGTTTTCAAATTCTTGCTCTTCCTCTTCTCCTTCTGGCACCCCTATGATTTGGATGTTGGTATGTTTGGAGATTTCTCGAAGGTTTCTCATAGTATCCTTGTTTTTGTTTTTTGTTTATTTTTTGAATTCTTTTTTGCTTCTTGCTGTTCTGGTTGAATGTTTACTTCTTCCTTATGTTCCAAATCATCAAGTTGAATCCTGGCTTCATCCCTTCCACTGTCAGTTGCCTGTATATTTTTCTTTATTTCCCTTACAATGACCTTCATTTCCTCATGGGTCTTTTTCATGTTGTTGCTGTATTCAGTGAGCTCTTTGAGCATCCTGATCGCCAGTGTTTTGAACTCTTGCACCTGATAGGCTGACTATCGCTGTTTCATTTAGTTCTTTTTCTGGGGTTTTGTTCTGTTCTTTCATTTGGGCCATATTTCTTTGTTTCCTCAATTTGGCAGCTTCCCTGTGTTTGTTTCTGTTTATTACATACAGCTGCTTTGATTCCCTGTCTTAGCACACTTGTTAAGTTGTATGGAATGGAGCCTTAGGTATTCATCATGGCAGGGAAACCCACTTCACCACTTTGAGGCTCTGTATACAGGGAGGGTTTAGAGAGGGGACAATGTCGCTGCCTGGCTTCTGGAGTCTTGCTTGGCATTTGCCCTATTTCCAGTCACTTTACCCACTTCCTTATGCTACTTATGCAGCTGTTGCCATAGAGGTGGTTCTCAGGGTGGGTGGGTTTGTGTACATTCTAAGTCCATGTGGGCCCTTTAAACAACTCTTCTGAGAAACTGGTAGTTTCTTCCACCACAACACTCACTGGTTTCGACAGCCAGAGATCATGGGGCTTTATCTTCCCAGTGCTGGCACCCTGGGCTGTGCAGTCTGGTTTGGGGCTGGGATAGCTCACATCCATGGTATCTCTCCTGATTTTTATTCACCACACATGAATGTGGGACCACCTCTTCTGCTGCCACCTCTCAGTGCCACACCGAATCCTCTCCTCCTCAACTCCATGACTGCCCCTCCTAACTGTCTGGATGAATATGGCTTCTTTAAATCCTTGGTTGTCGGACTTCCATACAGTTTGATTTCTGGCCATTCTGGGTGTTTTTTGTTTTGAGAGTAGTTAGAATTCTTCTTGTGGTTATGTGAGGAGTTGAAGCACGTCTACCTATGCCTCCATCTTGACCAGAAGACCCAAAGAGAATCTTGAAAACCACAAGCAAAAAGTGACTTATCACATACAAGTGATTTTCAACAAGACAATCCCCAGATATATCAGCAGAAACTTTACAGACTGAAAGGCAGTGGGATGATATATTTAAAGTGCTGAAATTTAAAAAAGAAACTATGAACTGAGAATTCTATATTTGGTAAAACTGTCTGTGACAGTTAATTTTATGTGGCACTTTGGTTAGCACATGATACACTATTCTATAGATGTTTCTATGAAGACATATTTTAAGTGAGATTAACACTTAAACCAGTAGACCTGGAGAAGAAAGGTAAATAAGAACATTATATAATATAAGGATCAATTCTCCAAGAAGATACAATAATTATAAACACACATGCACCAAATATCACAGGTACGTTTGGTGTAAACCTTTACAGAACTGAAGGCAGAAACAAAATATCCCTACAATGATAGTGGGACACTTTGATGCCTCACTTTTAATATACGCTAGAACAACCAGAGAGAAGATCAGTAAGTAAACATAGACTTGAATAGCACGATAGGGCAATTGGATAAAACAGGAGGATATACATTTTTCTCAAGTGCACATATAACCATTATCCAAGACATGCACTATGTTTATAAAACAAATTTTAATATATTTAAAAATACTGAAGTCATACAAAGTATATTTCCCCATCACAAAGGAATGAATGTAGAAATCAGCAGCATAAGGAAAACTGGAAAATTTACAACTATGTGGAAATTAAATGGCACACACTTAAACAGTCAATGAGTCAAAGAAGAGGTAACAATTAAAATTATAAAATATCTGAGACAAATAAAAATGAAAACACATTATCCTAAAACTATGAGATACAGGAAAATCAGTGCTAAGAGGCAAGTGTATGGCTATAAATGATCGCATTATGAAAGAAAAAAGGTCTCTAACCACCTAACTTTATACCATATGGAAGTAGAGAAAAATGAAATTCAACTCAAGGCTACCAGAAGAAAGAAAAAATAAATATTAGAAGGGAGATCAACAAAAGAGTTATAAAAACAACAAAGAAAATCAATGAAAAGATTTGGTTCTTCAAAAAAAAAATAAGCAAGGTCAACAAATTTAGCTAGAAAGACCAAGAAAAAACAGAGGGTGGTTGTGTAACAATGTGAATGTACTTAATGTAGAGTTAAAAACTATTGAAATGCAAAGTTTTGCTATATAATATTTTACCATAAAAAAAAATACAAGAGAAACACCTAGAACCAAGGGATATTTTTAGATTGAAAAGCCACAATAAATTAAATGGAAAGAAAATCCACCTTAACTAACAAACAAATATCTATGAGACAAATCTCTGTTAAATTGCAGAACAGCTGCTATAAAGGGAAAATGCTAAAAGTTTCCAGGCAAAAGAGAAAAACTATAAACAGATGTTTATATACAACACACTAAGAATTAAATGGCAATATACATCTCAGAGGTAACACTGGAAGCTAGAAGATAATAAAGCAATTAAAAATTTTTGTGAAAGAAGTTCTACATAGTCAAATCATCAACTAAATATAAGTGTAGCATAAAGACTGGTTCAGGCTTTCAGGGTTTTAAAAAATGTACCTCTCATGTATAATTTCTCAGTAAACTAATCAGCAAGACACTGCATTAAAATAATAAAATAAAACAAGAAAGAACAAGAACAGCACCCTGGAAGCAAGGGTTGCTGACACAGCATAGAGACAAATAAATTCTTGAGATCACAGTTGAAGAAATAATAGCCATTAAGATCAAGTTTAGAGAATAAGCACTTCTGAAGAAATCAGCAAAATGAAAGGCTCAAATAAAAACATCTTGAAAACAAAAATATATATAATGCCCTTGGGGATAATAATGGTTTGAATAGTATGAGAATTTCATGAAAGTTTATTTTAAAATAAAACTAGTATAAGGAAGCAAATATATTACTAATATATTCTGTGGTTCAGCTGTGAAAAGTGTTTACATAGTCATAAATATTGTCATTAAATATTAGTTAACCCCCAAATAATGATAATTCTATCGGGATAATAGAGCAGGAAGCATGTAAGCATGTGTATTAGAAAGGATTTATAACTTTCTTAATGTTAATTGAGGTATGGATAATTTATCTAGAATGATCAACAAATACTTCACAGTCTTATATGTACAGATCAAAATTAGCATGCCCAATTTCTAAAGAATTTAATACTTTTCATCAAATTCTTTTCAAACAATTTAAAAGTTCATATAACTAACCTTTTTGACTGAGATGTCTTGATTTTTGGCCAGTATCTTTTGTTTTTAACTCATGTAAAAGAGAGGAAACATGTTTTTTCTGTTTTCTAGAATATTCTAAATCAAAAGGAAAAGGTATATTCTGTGGAAACAAAAGCAATGACACCAATGACAATCTCATATATATATATATATTTTTTTTAGTCCTCAAAGAATTTTCACATGTGTAATACATCACCACTAATTTTCATTTTAAAACAACAAAAACCTGTGAGGCAGGCCAAACTTAGGAAAGATAAAAAGAACTCCATTGTGTGTGATTTTGATAAACTGTTTTCTTATTAAGAGTTAAGGATATACTTTGGACAATGTAAAAAGGGGCCTTTCAGGAAGATGTCATGATTAAATAAACAATGGGAGGAGAGAAATAAGGAATAAACAGAGAAGTATCAAGTGTTTCGTGTTGCCTGGGAGGATTCAGAGTAAGAAAGGAGAGGCAAAATTACTTCAGAAAACACTAAAAGGTAGGAACACACAAAAAAGGAGAAATTGGACTAGAATTATCACAAGTCCTAAAAGTACAACTGGATTAGATGTGTGTGGAAGGAATAACAAATACAGTATTGAAAGGAATTTCATAGAGAATGGGGCCATTCTCAGATGTAAACTGGACATGTGTGTAAAGTGGCTGGGAATTTAATAATTAATGCTGAGTTACCCTTTTTCTCTTCACAGTTCATCCAGGAATGATTCAGAGGATCCATCAGATCATCAGGAACTCAGGCTCTTTCAAAATTTATCATCTCTATCTTACTCATCTACATGGCTTCTACACTAAATGTTGACTTATGAGTCAAGATAGAGCTTCAAACACAATGTATGCATCTCAGTCAGCAATATGGAGGAACACATAAAATGATAAAAAGCAAGCCATGTATCTTAAGAAACTTTCCCAGAGGTCTTTCCAAACAATTTTAGTTTATATCTCATTGATCACCCATAGCTACAAAGGAGAGGATAAAAAATACAGCCCTTTTGCTAGGTACTTTGCTGTCTGGAGGAAAATTGGGGATCTCTTTCCAAAAACAAAGAAAAAAGTCAAATATTGGTAGGCAATCAATTAGTCTGCCACAGAGAAAAAATCAGAATCCTTTGAGGGGATAGATATTTGTATTTTGAAAAACCTTCCAAAGATATCATGCTTTCCTTGACAAGAACCACTGGTCTTAATTCTGAAGAATCAAAATTTGTATCTTCAGATCTCCCCTTTCTGAAATGTTTGTTTTTGTATATTTGTTTATGGGAAATATGTATAGTGCTTATCATTTGTCCTTGTTTTAAATCTCTGTACAGATATTAAGTTATAAAATACTCATAATTACCATGAGCTATGCTCTTTCACCTGGAATATATCTCAGACATTTTATACTCAAGATAATATCTTTCCTTCAAACCTATTAATACTTACTTCTAGTTTTGATGACTAGCACCACCTTCATCCATTGAGAGAAGTTCACATCAATTCTCTAATATGTGACAGCTGATAGAATTTTGAAATAGAGAGCTCATCATCATATATCCCCTACCTTGACCTGTCCACTTGTACAAATATCCTTTACTTTGTAATTTAGCAGAGACACTTAGATATGTGCCTTGGTCCCCTGTATTTAAAATCTTCTGCCCATATCCCTATATCCTACAATAGAGATATATTTCATGAAATATCCTTAGGTTTATTTCCATCTTTTAAATTTTATATGTAATGTTTTTAATTGATTTATTGAAAAAGATTTGTCTCCATACAGTGATGCACTGTAGAAGACTTCTTGAATCTTCATGACAGGTACTAAGTAGTCTTGAAATAAATCTCAGGTTTGTTCTTCACTAAAACACTTATCACTGATCAGTTCTTACACAACACAATTTCTTGTCAGTATTTACATGACAAAATACACATTTTGTTAGAAAAACAAATAGGTACTTTTGAGCTCAGATATTCTTCCTATAGTTAGAAATTTTTCTTATGCTTGCTAAGAACAATTTTAATATGATATACAATATCAACACATTATCAAAATATGACTTTAAATAATGTTGCTTCTATTTTAATGTGTTTAATTCTTTAATAAAAATTATACAAAGTATGATGAAAGTGTAGACCAGTGCTTTGCAACAAATTCTGTAACAACCTATTTCGATTGCTTTTTCAACCTCAAATTTGACCATCAATCCTCTCCGAATTACATCATCTTAACTCTTTATGTAATCATTCTTGTATCTTATCTCTATAAATCTTCCTGTATTTTAGTAATCTCTTTGTCTCTCCTTCCTAACAAAGTAATTCATCATATATTAAAAATCACCTCAAACTCTATTTCAACCATAGAAACAAATCCTTTCTTTCTTCTAGATCTCACTTATATTTTATACATGAGAAAATAATAAAAGTAGAATATAAGGATGTGTTCAACAATTCCATTTCTACTAATACTTATTCCTTTACCTTCCCCTAATAGAATAAAAAATTAAAAGTTAAAAGTATATACCTGTCTGTCAAACCCAAGTATCCACTCTCTACTGTAAATACTGTTAGTCAGTTTATAGAATCATAAGATTTAAAAGTCCCCTAGTTAAAGAAATAGGTCTTTTAGAAAAAAACGTTGTTTTTGTTTTTTTTTTGTTCTCCCACTTATCCTTCTTCATATAGCCATATGCCACCATTTGTCATCACTTAACATAATTTTCTCTTCCTTGGCTTTATAAAAGAAAAATTCATAACAAAGTGTGCATTATGTGACAGTGAAACAAATTTATAGGAAGATAATCAAAGAGTCTAAAATCCTGAATGAACTAAGGTTTACATAAATTGCCAAATGTGCTTTTCTGTTGTATGTACTGCAAGAAGGAGAAGGAAGGATGTACCCACTTACTGATTGATCTTTGAAATAATAGAGAAAAAAAGTTATCAGAAATCTTCAATAATCAAATAAATACCTTGTTTTCAATAGCAGAAAGTATATTCTGGTAACTAAATTACCTCAAAACAAACACTGGTATTCAATGATTTAAGAAAATATTTTAAGGATGTTTTGTAGCACTTAGAAAAGGAATTATCAGCAGGGAGCAGTATAAATTGAGAAAAAAACTAATAATCTCAATTTTAACAGAGTCCAAGTTAATTCAGGTACAAATCTTGATATGAGAAACCTGCATTTCAGCAGTATCTAATAAATGGTTTTACTACTTATGAAAAGACAGTATGATTAGGTGGAGATCAGAGATGTTGAGTCATTACATAGAAGAGAGTAAAGGTTAATGAAATGATGCCAACCTAAAGGGAGATCTCCGATATCATGATATGCGGACCTCTTCTATCCTTATCAATATTTATACGAATGATTTGAATAAAAATGTAAAGGAAATGCTTATCAAATTTTCATATGAGGTGGTAAAAGAACAAAATCAGTTAACACAAGACAGAAATTTAAAATATTATCAATAGACTGCAGCAATGGGTCAAATTAAACTGATGAGCTTTCAAAGGTATAAATATTGCAGTTGAAGAAAATTCATTTAATCACTGCACTATATCACTTAATTTAAAAATCTGAGTAATAAGAGACTGAAGTATTTTAGCTGAGAGTAAATTAATTAAAAATTCATTGAGTGATGACCTTATACTATATGCTGTATTAAGCATTTCATCTAGAATATGGGAAATTATAGTCTTGCCATATTCAGAACTATAAATGAAGCACTATGTCAGGTCAGGACAACACATTTTCAGATGATTACTGATAACCTGGAACATGAAAAGAAAGCAGCCTATCTACTGAGTTATTTTTAAAGTGAGCCCTATCTGATTAAATCCGGAATATAAAAGAGGAAACAAAGAGAGAATTCAGACTCCTCCCCTCCTTCAACCTCCATCTTCCTCTTCTAGTAAGATGATACCACAGCATTTATCACAATTTTGTGTCTGCTTGTGTTACAACTGTTTTGTTTTGTTGTTTTCTTTAATTTTTTTAATCATTGTTCTATTACAGTTGTCCAAATTTTCCCTCATTGTTCTCCCCCACCCTGCCCATCTGCCGTTCCCACAGTCATGTTCTTTACTATTATGATTTTAAAAAATAGCCCTGGCTGGTGTGGCTCAGTGGATTGAGAGCTGGCCTGCGAATCAAAGGGTTACAGGTTCAATTCCCAGTTTAGGACACATACCTGGGTTGCAGGCCAGGTCTACAGAAGGGGGCATGCGAGAAGCAATCACACATTGATATTTCTCTCCCTATCTTTTTCCCTCCCTTCACCTCTCTAAAAGTAAATAAATAAAATCTTTAAAAAATGAAATAAATTTTTAAAAATATAATAAAAAATACTCCATAAGAGCAAGGACTTTGCTTGTCTTGATTATGCAGTGCCAAGAATGACCCTTGGCATTCAGCAGTTACTCAAATAATTGTATGTTCAATGTTGAATGAATAGTAACAAACAGGAATACTAGGAGGAATAAGTGGAAGTTTAGGAACTTTGGTTCAATATAATATAAAATGAAATTCCTTCACTTCAAGACAGCATGGATGGAACTAGAGAGCATTATGCTAAGTGAAATAAGCCAGAGGGTGAAAGACAAATACCATATGATCTTACCTACAAGTGGAATCTAACTTACAAAACAAACAGGCAAGCAAAATAGAACCAGAGACATGGAAATAAAGAGCAAACTGACAGTAACGAGAGGGGTGGGGGAGGAGGGTAACAAGGAAAGAAGGAGAAGGGTCATCAAGGAACATGTATAAAGGACCCATGGACAAAGCCAAGGTGGGGTAGGATTGAGGGTGGGAGGTGGGCGTGGGTGGGGTGGTGGAGAGTATTGGGGAAGCGGAAACTTACGGTTCTGACGACCATACTTGAACAATAAAAAGAAAAGAAACTTTTTTTGGACAGAGTCCAACAACTAGACAGGCTTTTATCAGAAATTCCTATCTAATAATTTTTAAAGGACTCTATTCCAGTGACAACTCCAACATTCCCTTCTTTTATTTTGAAATCTTACAAACACAACAGTTACTCCAAAATTTTTAACTCAGTGGCTCTTTACAACCACCCCCACCCCCTTCTTCTAAGCTCTTCATCAGGTAC